CCGGCACAGGGATGCCGTGCTCCGGGGCTCCATCCACGTGCCATGGCACAACCCAGCACTCAGCAGGACCCACCCACACCTTCAGAGCTCCCTCTGAGCGCTGACAGCTGTGCCATGGGGTCACTGCTGGTCCCACAGCCGCTTCCCAGAGCTGCTGGCACCCAACTCAGAGGAGCTGCCCTCAGCCTCCACCCCCTGCAGCCGCCTCCACGCTGATTTATTCTCCCACGCATGCCATGCTAACGGCTCCCCAGGCACGTCGCAGCCCGAGCCAAGCCCAGAGCCCTGCATCCTGGGCTTTGGGCCCTGCTGCAGTGCTGCATCAAAGCACTGCAGGGGAAGTTACTTAACTTTACAAAGAAGCGTTTCTCCTTCTGCTGGAGGCTCCCTCGAACGCTGGGAGCTGTGCAGCCCTGGGTATGCCAGGGGTGTCCTGGGGAGCTGGGGCTGTGCCTCCAGCCTTGGGGATGCCTGGCTCTGCAGGATGCCTGAGGAGGCAGGTGCTGCAAGGGGACACTTACTTGCAGGAAAGACGATTCCTTCTGGCTTGTGACACTTCTAATCCTACCTGCCACAGTTATAACATCATAAACATAATCTGAATGACATGCACAGGGTAAATGGAGGCTGATCTTGTTCCTGTAATCCTGTGATCTCAGGAAGGCAGAAGCGATAAGTTGCCACTAAATAAAGCCTGGAGGAAACGCACTGAGAGGTCACCGATGGGAGCTGTTGCTCCACTTGACACCGCGTGCCCTATGCAGCTGCACCTGGTGCCATCAGAGCCCCTCTTTGTGCCCGTCGGGGCCAACATCAGCCCCTGCCTGGGGCTGCTTTACCCCAGCAGCAGCACCACTGCAAGAGATGGATGGGGAGCAGCACCAGTGCCCCGCTGCCCAAGCAGAGGAGTGTGCACCTGGGGTGCAAGAGAGCAGCAGTAGCTCAGAGCAAGGCTTTCCCCAAAGGGGCGGCTGGCAGCCCTCCATTGGCAAGCTGGTCTGGGAACCACTGCCGTGATGGAAAGAGCTCATAGGGTTCATCCAGAAAGGCACCGGGCGCCTCCAACCTCTGTGAAAAAGCCACTCCAGACAAACATTCCTTGTCCACAGAAATCAGCGTGACCTCCTGGCACGGGTCCCCCTCCACCTGGAGGCTACAGAGGAGGAGCTCTCGAGCTCCGGGCTGCTCTCAGCAGCAGGTCAGCCAGGTGCAGCCAGGAGCCCACTGCCAGCCCTGGGAATACAGCATCCCTGGACTCCCACACCCACACACGGATGCTCCCCCCAGCAGCATGGGGGACAAACTGCCACCTCCACCCCCACGTGCTCTCCAGCATCTCCACATCCCTCTGCAAGCAGCACTGAGCCGGGGCACGTTCAGCGGGGCAGACAAACCCTTGCAGGGACGCAGTACTTAAACGCCTTTTTGAGTCTCCAGCTCACTTCAAGTAACCTTAAGAACTATGCCTTCTAAAACACACCTTCCGAGGGAGTTTTCCCCAGCGCAAAAGCAGCCTTCGGTTTCGGGAGCACCAGGACGAGCGACGCAGCGCAGTGCCCCGCTGGGTGCGGGCTGATGCGGGAAGCTTGGAAGCAGCCCAGGGGCTGCAGCACGGGGACGGCTGTGGGCTCCTTCGTCCTCCGAGCAGCCGAGGGGGAGCGGGGGGGGGCTCGGCTGCCCCCCAGCCCCACGCTCCCTACGGCGGCTCTGCAGCACGGGGGTCGCGCTGGGGAGAAGCGCATGCAAACGGTTGTTTTACAGAATGAACCGTAAAAAGAATGACCTGTCGGCGGGCGCGCTGGCGGCTGCGCCGAAGCAGTGCATTGCTTTCCTACGGCTATCCCCGTTAGCAGGCAGGTAGCAGCGCAGCGGAGCGGGGCAAAGCGGGATGCAGCGCTCGCAGGAGGCAGCTGTGCGCCGGCAGCGATTGGTGCGGGCCGGAGCCGGGACTTCAGAGCCCTCTCTCGGACTCGGCTGCGAAGTCACCTTGGCCAAACCACTTATCCTCAGCGCTTCGGACTCCCGTCTGCAGAGCAGAGGTAATCGTGTTAGCGCTCGCCACATTCGTCCGAGCAGCGGCGTCCGGTTCCTTGCGGTGCGGATGCAAAGCGGCCGCGAGCGAAGGGCGGGCGAGGAGACGAGGGTCACCCAACCCGGGGTACCCCAAGGCGGGCGGGGCTCTGGGGATCCCCCCGGCTCCCGGTGGCAGCGGGCAGCCCTCGCCCTTACCCAGCAGCGCGGCCAGCAGGCGCGGGGCCATGGCTGCGGCGCGTCCCGACTGCCCGCAGCGCCCGGCTCCGGCCGCCCCCGCCGAGGCCGAGCCGAACCGGGCGGAGCCGCGCCGGGAGGAGGAGGAGGAGGCGCCGAGCCCCGCCCCGCCGTGTCCCCGCGTCCATCGGTGTCCCCCGCACCCTGCGGGGCCGCCCGCTCCGCCCACCCGCCCGGCCTCGGAGCTCGCGCGGATGCAGCCGTGCGGCGGGTGGGTTCCCTTCTTCTGCCTGGAAAACAACCGAACCGGGCCGGGCTCTCGCCCAGCGCCCACCCCAGCAGCGCTCTGCTAGCCCCGGGGTGACACCGAGCGTCCCTGCAGCCACAGATGGGGACGCAGCCGTACATGGATGGGTTCAGGTGTGCCCAAAGTCTGCCTGGCGCCGCTCGGAAAACTTATTTTGTCTGCCCAAGTGTGTTCTGAGATAATTGGCTGCCCGTAAGTTCATGTATCTGCAACCTCTTGCTCACCCTCCATCCATTAGACGTAACCTTCGGCAGACCGCATCCAAAAATGCGCTTGGCCGGCCCCTGCTAATGGAGGCCTCCAGCAATGCGAAGTGTGAGAATGCAGCTCTGCCTTCCCACCCAGGGCCCATTAGGGAGTGAGACCACTGTGCTGAGCAGCAATCTGCAGGTGGTGACGAATCCCGAGGCCAGGCACAGCGGGACAGGAGAGGAGGGGGCACAGCGCCCCTTCCTGGCACAAGGCACGTGTCCCAGCCACGCTCCTTTCCGGCCAGCCAGAAGCACCGGGGAGGAAGGAGGGAGAAAGCAGGATGCTTTGTGAGGCACTGGGGTATCCTGGGGGACCCTGCGAGGGTGCCAGCTGTGTCTGTGGGGTGAGGAGTGAGGGCTGCTGAGCTGGAGAAGAGACAGGAGAAGTGCAGGCAGGTTGGGCTGGGCAGAGCAGGCAGCCGATGCTACAGGAGCAGCATAGAGAGTATTGCTGATGCTGCAGGAGGTGTCTCAGTGGCTGTGATGGATACAGGTAAGTGACAGATACGGGTAGGTGACGGATACGGCCAGGTGATACAACCCGGTGCACTTAGGCTCACAGCCAGCCTCCTCCAGGACATTGTGCCCCTGCACAATGAACTCCCACTGAGCAGCCCTGCAGCGGCAGGGCAGGTGCTGCCTGCAGTGTGCTGGGGCCAGCTGTGCCCTTGTAGTCCCAGGGCTTGGAGCACGGCGCTGCCTGTCACCAGGCGTGATGGAGCTGTCACACTTGGCAGCCCTGGCCACTATCCTCAGCCGACTGCTCTTGTCAGACATCTGCTGCCACCATGGATGTGGAACATGCTCTGCTCCCTGCCAGCCATGTGTGCCTCGGCCAGGAAAAGGCACTGGGGAATTTGACACGGTGCTCAGATGTCCGGCGCAGGGATACTGATGCTCAGAGGAAACTCTTTTTGCTGAGCCCAGCACAAGGCTGCCGTGTCTGGTTACAGGGAAGGCGAGCACCCCCTGCTTGGACACTGTCACCTCCCCAGAGGGATGGGATGCAGGGCTCAGGGATCCTTTCTGCTGGCTGCTTGCACCCGATGCTGCCGGGCTTCTCCATTCCTCCTATTTGCCCTGCAAAAATGGGACTGGGAGGGTTAAAACACCCAAGGATGGCTCCTGTTTCCCTCCACGTGGGCATGGGGTAGGGCTGAGCAGAGCAGTGCTGGGCAGCAGCCTTCAGCACAATGCAGCAGATGCTGCACAGCTTCAGCTTCAGCAGGGAGCAGCTCCAGCAGGGATGCAGGGATGCTCTGGCCCCCTCCCAAACCTCCCGGAGCAGGCAGAGCCCTCCTGCAAAAGAGGAGGTGGTGACGCCGGAGCAGGACTTCCCATCAGCACCTTATATTTACTGCAAGGTCCTCTGGCTGCGACCTTTAGAAGAGGAGGCGGCCTGGCAGCCAGCTCTGCAGCAGCGTCCCGGCTGGAGCTGACGGAGGTCCGGGCACACGGACTGCGGTGAGTGCTTGGTCGCTGTGCCATCCCCAGCCCTCCCTTGCCTGCAGCTCTCCTGAGCAATGCTTTTCTCTCCCCCTGCCTCCTCTCCCACGCAGAGCTGTCCTCATGCTGCCCCCCCTGCTCTCCAGCGAGTCCCTATTTGGGGGACCCTTTAAAGCAAGCAAGAAAAGGGGAGTGGTGTCCCCAGGCAGGCACTGCAGAGGCAGCTGCACGGACGCAATGGTGCTGTGTCCCAGGGGAAAGTTTCTTCCTGACTCGATACAAGCTCTGCTGGACCCTTCCTGCTCTATAGCATTGTCCTTTAACCCCTGCTCCATTCCCCCTCTGCTCGCTGCCCCAGGTCCCTCCATGCAGAACATCAGGCTGCTGTTGCACCAAGGGGACAAAGCTGTCCCCAGTTCTTGACCTTCTTGCTGGTGACCATCCCAGCAGTGCCCCCACAGTGCCGGCTATGGGTGCCTATTGCTCCAGCTCTGCTCATCCATCTGGAGGGCTGCTCCTTCCACCCAGTGCTGTGCTCCCGCAGGTACAGCACAACCTGCAGCACAGCGGGGCCGGCAGCATCACCGACCTCCTGCCCTTCCCCAGGGGGAGAGATAGCTGCGCTGTGCCTGCCTGACCCACGCTCCTTTAGCACCCAAAGCAGAACTGCTGCCCAAGTGAGGCAGAGCAGGGTGGTTCTGGGCAGCCCAGGGCTTGGTCCTGAATCTTGGGCTCCCCGGAGCCACCTTGCTCTGCAGTCAGAGGTATGAAAGCACCCAACGCACACGTTGCATTTTGTTGTTCCTCTGTTTGTTTAACTGTACAAAGAGCAATAAAAACATCCTCCAGTCAGGCTTTGGCGAAAACACCACCAGCAGAATGTTTGGCAAAAAGAAAAACAAAACAAACATTGGAAGGCGCAAACCCAAAGTACAGCTATGGCCAATAGCAGCACCTCCCATATATATATATAGATTTATATATATATTTGTAGACTCTCCGTTGTTTACAGCTATGTACAGACAGATGCATTGGCAAGTTGCAATCCAAGGACAGTGCATGAGTGAGATGAAGGCAGGTGTGGGGCTGGCTGTGAGCTCACAGCTGGAGTTGGCCCCAAAAACTGCTCACAATGGAGCAGCAAAGCGATGCAGCTGTGCGTGTGGGTGCAGGCAGCGGGCTGAGCCCAGGGGTGAATGGGGCAGAGCAGGGCACGTCCTGGCCACAGCAGGACAAGGGACAGCAGGACACGGTGCAGCAGGGAATGCAATGCTTGCTGTCTCTGCTGGCACCGCTACCCTGCAAGGACCTGGATGCACAGGGCAAGGATTTGCCCAAAGGCTCCCAGAGGGAGCTGCAAGCAGGGCAGGAGTTGGACTGTGGGTTTTGGGGGTGGCACCGCGGGGCCCCACGGGCTGGCAGTGCGTGGCCGTGGCAGTACGAGTTGTGCAGGGCCCCTCAGGAGCCGGGGAGGGCAGTTCTGGGTCCTGGGCTCGGGTTGATGGCTGCGCCGCTCCATCCCGGCACGCGCTGCTCCTTCTCCCCACCACTGCGGTTTGGCACATAAGGAGAACACTTTCCATTACAATCATCTCCCCGGGAAGTAAACACATACTGAATAATCAGCCTAGCACCTTCGGATGAGGTGCTCAGGCCCAAATACAGCCCAAGAAGGGCACGTCCGTGACACACCGGGAGCCACGAGCCTCTCACCATGGCACCCCAGCACGAGGACGGGCAGAATCAGGGATGGGATGGGGACATCGGTGCTCTCCCCCCCCCCACCCCATCCCCAGCACCCATGCTCCATGGAGCAGGGATGAGCCTGTCCCAGCCCGGCTGTGGGGCAGGAGCCAGCCCCCCCCGGCCCTCCCTGCTCCTCCCTGCGCCCTGCTCCAGGCGGGTTGGCGGTGCGGGTGGCAGGGGGTTACTCTGGGCAGACAGCAATCCTGGCTGTGGGAAGCACACGGACGGGACGCGCTGTACAGTGATGGGGGAAGCAGGGTGAGTTACTTGGTGCCCTCCTCCGGGTTGCCTTCGCCGTCCGTCTTTCCTTCCTCCTCCGTTTTCTGATCATCCGTGTTCAGCCTCTGCTGCTTTTTCCGACGCACGCACTTCACCACCATCAGCACCAGGATGACCACGGCCAGGAAGCCACCCACGGAGGCACCCACGATGACAGCCACCGTCGAATCACGCTTTGGGGGTTCTGGGGACACAGGGCAAGGTCAGCCCTTGGCACCCAGCACCCAAGGGTACCTCTGGCCATGAGAATGGGGCTGCACTGACCTTCGGTGAGCACCTTCAGGCTGATGCTGGCGTGGCCCCGCTGCCGGTCCGGGGGATTGAGGACGTAGCAGTTGTAGGTGCCCTCGTCCTCCAGCTGCACGTTGTTGAGGGTGAAGGACACGTCGTTCTTGGTGGGGTTCCCAGTGAACTCCACCCGGTTCCCAAAGCGCTCCAGCTGCTTGTTCATGATCTTCATCCGGAACTGAAGGAACTGCGCAGTGGGGAGAGTTGTTGGGGTACCCCGAGCCCTCGTCCCCCCCAGCAAAGCCCCATCCCTCACCATGCCGTGCTCACCCCATTCAAGGAGATGGCCAAGGCACCCCATGCAGCCCGGGGTTCCCAGCAGCCCTGAGGCACTCACCAGCTCCTCAGAGCAGTTCATGCACGCCTGGTACGTCCAGTTGAGGGAGAACTGCTTGTTCTCCACCTTGTAGCAGGAGTTGAAGGTGCAGGAGAGCTTTACAGAGCTGCCGTTCATGGCGTTGATGATGGGGGGAGCCATCACCTCCATTCCCAGCCCTGTGGGCACTGAGATGAGAGTGCAAATGTGTTAAAGGGGCACAGATTCCCATCCATAACCACCTCCCACCCTGGTGCCCTTCAGCCCTTCTGCATGCTGTGGCTTGGGGGGACATGGGAACGCTCCCAGATCTGGGCAGAAAGCACTGTGGCAATGGCTGATGTCCCCCTTTGCCATGCTGGCCTGATGGCTCCCAGCACCAAATTCTGCTGACACCAAGCAATCCCTGCTCCTTGCTGCTTAAACAAGGCTTTGCTGCTGCAGAATCGATCCCGCTATGCAAAAGGGTGGATGCAGCATCAACTTGCAGGGCTCAGCACCACGGCTGCAGGGAGGGAAATTTATGGCTGTGCTCATCAGATTCTGTTCCAGACAGGACGCATTACAGCAGCACGGGATGGGAGCTGCCAGGGACAGGCCTGGAGGGCTGCAGATGCTCCCCCACACACTGTGGGGCTCATGCAAAGCTCCTCCATCTGGGAGAGAGGGGATCTAGAGCTCAGTTTCTCCCCTGGAAGGACAAAGCCACTCCCTGCACTCCTGGCACAGAAACTGGGTCAGCACCCAGTGTGGCTGGCACTGCTCAGCTGGTGCATGGGCGCACACCTCCACTCCTCTCATGCAGCTCCCCAGATCTCCAGCTGTCCCCAACAGCACCCACAACCCAGCACCCACCCACAGTTTGCACAGGAGGGCACGGGGCAGAGATGGGCTGCAAAGGCGCACGGCACCCCATGGGACAGCAATAATGGCACTGACACCTTCTGCCTTGCAGATCCTGGCTGCAAGACGGGACCTGGTGCCAATCCCAAGCCACTTCCCCATTGCCTTGCAGCAGCGCATGTCCTTGCCTTACTGCCTCAGCCACAACATGGTCACCTCCAAGGAATCCTGGCAGAGAGGAGATCTGGGTGTCTGCTTGCCTCAGAAGCCCCCACACAGCCTGAATGCCCCCAGCCATGTGCTGTGTCCCGGGCTCTCAGCCTGCACTTGGCTTTGTGCTGCACTCCCAGTGCTCTGCAGAGGGCAGGAGCTTCACACAGACACCAAGCACTGCAGGACCACGGTGCAGCCAAGGGGTCCTCGTGGGAAGCTCACTCATGCCCCAGGAGTGCTGACATGCATGTGTCCCAGCAATGGCCCTAGCCAGCGGACTCCAGCAGCTAGAGACAAGATCAGTGGCAAAAGAAACCCCTGGGACCAACCATCCAGGCTGTGCCCTTTGGTGCTCTGCAAGCCCAAGTGCTGTCACACATTACCCTGCTCCCCTGGGCTCAGGAGGTTAAATGACACCTGGACTCTGAAGAAGACCTCACTGAGCTTTTATCCTCCATCTGATGGTCCCTCTCCTAAAGCCAAGGCAGCCCCCCAGCAGCTCCAGGGCAGGGCGAGCAGCACCTTGGAGAGGTGATGGATGCATCCCTGCTTCCCAATCGATACAGCTCCAAACCTGCTGACACACGCTCCTGGCTGCAGGGCAGGGCAGGGACGCAGAGAGCAGAGCGCAGCCCCCCCCACTCCCCCCTCACACCCCACCCCCACGCCCCGCTGCTTCCCTGACCCCAAAGCACAGCACAAAGCACCCACAGCCCACCAGGCTGACCCCAGCCAAGCAAAGCAGCCAGCATCCCTGCCGCAGCCCTGCAGGGCGTGCAACCAGCGCTGTGCGCAGCAAACCCCAGCAAGCAGGACGCTCGGCTGTCAGGAGAGGCAATGCTGCAGCGTACCCCCACCCTGCCCACAAGCAGGTCAGCCTGGCTGCGGATTTTGGCATCGGGGCATCTTCACCCCATCCCTGCAGCACAGCATCTCATCGCTGCTCCTCTCCCACAGGGGCTTCTCAGGGCCCAGATATGGGGAGGGGGCTTCTCCCCACCTGGGTGCTGTCCCATGCAAGGGGTTGGGGTGGCACTTACCCAGCGAGAACAGCAGGCTGAGGGCAGAGAGGCACAGGACAGGCTGAGGGAGCCAGGCATCCGGGCTCATTGTGAAGGAGTTGGGTGTGTGGAGAGGGCTTGGTGTTGGTGTGGGTTGTGGTGGTTTGCTTTTTTCGAACGCCCGGGTTATTTGCAGGTGACATATAACATTAGAGCTGCTTTATTTCCACAGCCCAATATGGCCGGTGGAGCGGTGCTGGGCTGAAAAAATCGGTAAATGCTATGGTTGGTGGATTTCAGCAGAGCGAGTGGGAGGGCAGAAAAAATTTCCCCTGAACAGAAGCTGAGGCTCCTGGCGCATCACTGCTCCATGCTGCAGGGAGTGGGGTGGGCTGCGTCAGCACAGCTTTGCTTTTCTCGCTGGGACCAAGCATCCCCCCAAAGCACCACGGTCAGAACAGGTTTCTGCTGAGATTCTCTCTCAGCAAGCAAGCGGTGCTCAGGGCTACCGTGGAAAGTGCAGTGCCCAAGGAAGCACCTTGCAGCACAGACCTGGCCATGGAGATTCGTCAGCCCCTGCAGCCCCCATGCCAGCAGGGCCACAGCATGTGGCACCTTCTGGGAGCACAGAAACCCTCTTCTGGAAGCAGAGTGCAAAGGTTCTAGAGGACCTGGAAGGAGCTGAAGGTGCCCCAGGTCAGCACACAGCGGCGTAGGAACTCCGACCCTGGATGCACAGTGCAAGGAGAGAGCATGGAGATTGTGGAATTGGTGACAGCAGCCACACAGGCACCCCGTCCTCGTGTGGTGTGGTTTGCTGAGGCAGCATCAAAGAGGAGAAAGGTGGGGGATGCCATGGAGGCAGAGCACAATTCAGTCCCTGCATAAAGGGGCCCTTGAGAGCGATGGATGGGGCTCAGTGGGCAGGCAGAGCTGGGTCTGCTTTACTGGAATGGTTTCCACCTTGCTGCAAGGCAGCAGTGGCCACACGCAAACCCAGCTCCCCAAAAAGGGCTCCAGGTGCTGCTTCCTTCTGAAATCCCACTGCTTCTCCTCACCCAGGAAAAAGAGAGTAGGGTGGCAACGTGAAACCAAGGAGTGCAGCCTGGAGCAGCCTGTGCTGCAGTCTCCCATCCAGCAGAGCCGAGGAGGTGGTCCCCAGCTCCCAGCTCTGCACCTGGAGGTGTCAAACATCTATATTTAGTGGCAGGAGGGGAGCCAGCACATTGCAGGGCGGCAGTCCTGGAGGAGGGGCGGCTGGGATCGCTGTCCCGCCCACCCAGAGCAGCGAGTCCCGGGGCTGGGCTGCAGGCAGGGGTGGTCGCACCGTGGGTAGGGCGCACGTGGGAGCTGCGCACGTGGGGGACCCCGCTCTGCTCCATCCCCACACGGGCACCCCGCTGCTGCAAAGGGATCCCGTTTGCGGCCCATTTCGCTGGAGCCAGGCGGGTTTTGGCACACACTGACATCGCACAGTTAAGCAGGAGGTAAAAGGAAGCCAGGAAAGGAGGAGGCTCCCTGGGCCTCGCTGAGTTTTATTATCTGCAGAAGATACGACCGCACGGCTGCGCCCCCCCACCCCCCCCTTTCCCCTCCCCAGCCAGGCTCTCCTCATTATTTCCAGTCCTGGAGCTGGTCGGGGGAAAAAGTGCTGGGAAGTGGGGACTATGCCCTCTGCATCCCTTTCTGAGGACCAGGGAGAAGGGACCCAAAGGGGACACCTCCCCAGGTCACCTTGCAGATGCCAGGTAAGCCATGTCCCAGCAGCAGTTCAGGATGGAGATATCAGTGAAGGGCTGACAGCAGCTTAACAGGGACTAGCCGAAGGAGCAAAGAAGTCTTGCATGTAGCTGCTGGCTAAGGGGTTTACAGCCCCAGTGTGGCTATTTCCCCCTCTCTGGGACATGAGGAAGTTCCTGCTGGGGTTGGCTGTAGGGCTGCTCGCTGTGCCCACCATCCCGTCTGCCTTCTGCCATCCACTCTGCTGGGATCACCCCCCTGGCCAGCTCCACATAGATGCCATTCTCATGGAGGATGGAGGGATGCTGCAAGGAACCAGGGACAGAGTGAGTCCCTCTGCAGGCACTGGGGCCATTGGGCATCACCAGCCGGGAAGGAGGTGGTGTAAGGGGTCCCACAGCCCTGGAGCTGCTCCCTCCTCACCATGGTGATGTAGGTCTCCTCAGCTCTCCTCTTCTTCCCTGCATCCTGATCAGCCTTAGGCACCTCAGCTTCAGGGATCGAAGAGTAAAGCCCTTCCTATGGAGGAGGATGGGGGGAGGGGGGAAAGCAGGGCAATTGGAACCAAGCAGCAAATAGGCAGGTAAGGCAGTACAACTTCGTGCTTAGCCAGCCTGCCTGTCCCAGGAGCTCCCACCTTGGCTTTGTCCTTGCTGCCATCATTTCTGGCTCTCTCCAGGGCCGTGGTGGCTGCAGACCTTGAGGGAAAGCAACAGAGGCGCCACGTCCAGCAGGAAGCATCACCTGCTCCTCCCACCCCCGAATCCCACTGCTGAGACCCTTCAGATGCCCCTTGGCAGTCGCCAGGTGACGGCGCCCACCGAGGCGCTGGTGGAGCCCATGGCGCTTTGCTTCTGTCCTGCAGTGCCCACCACCTCCCTTGACCCGGAGGGGTGCAGCCATGCAGGCAGCGGGGAGCCCAGCCGCTTTGGGAGGAAGGGCAGAGTGACACTAGAGGGCAGCAGGAGCAGCGCTGAGTGTCTGCTCCGCTTTCTGCATCTGCATCCTGCTTGGAGCGGCTCAACGGGGGGATGCTCAGCTCAATAAACCCGAAGCGAGCGTTGGTACCTCTTCCTCAGGTTGAGTCCTGCCAGGAAAGCCAGCACCACGGCCACGGCGCTGCAGCACACGGTCACAGCCCAAACTCCAGTGCGCCCCTGGACTTGAGCACTTTCTGCTCCTCTATCTGCAGGGAGACACCAAGGCGGGGGCTGCAACCCACAGGGACACCAGCACTGCTGCAGAGCCGTGCTGGTAGGTATGGAAACCCCTTTGCGAGGAGTTGGATGGGGTGACAAGTGAGGGGAGCTGCTGGGGCACACACCTCTCTGTGTTGCAGGGCTGACACGCAGCATCGTGTGGTTCTTGAAGATGCTGCCGTGCTGAAACAGACGGATCTCACACGTGTACCTGCCACTGTCATTCACCTGCACGTCCTGCAGCTGGATAGAGCCATCCCAGCACGAGACGTCCCCCTGCCACCGCACCCGGTCTTGGAAACGGCCCACAGGGACACTAGAGTTGCTGTAGTAATAAAATACCATCTCCTCCTGTCCGGGCACAGAGCGGCTGGTGAGAGGAGCCCAGCAAGCTGAGCACTGCAGCCTCTCCCCCCACCCACACAGCCAGCACCATGCACAGAGCCCAGCTTGCTCCCTCCTGCACGTGCACCCCTGGAAAGCCACAGAACACAGCACTGAACGCCACAGCACGGGGCACACAGGTGGGGAGCAATCCTCATGCAGAGCTCCAAGAGCAGCGGGGCTGCCTGACTCTCCCTCCCATTGCCCACCCCCCGGTTCTGACCCACCTTCTGTTTGCCAGCCACTGGCACACGCAGCCAGTCCACTTTGGTCACCGTCCAGCCCGTGGCCTCTGGGTCTTGGAAGAGGCAGCGCAGCAGGACGGAATCTCCAGCGCTAGCATGGAGCCAGGGCTCTGTGAACACCCATCCAGTCAAGCTGCTGCTCCTCCCTGCCAGGCACAAGGACAGCAGGATGAGGCTGGCCGAGCGCAGCCTGCCTGTCCCCATAGATGTCTCCTCTCTGGATGAGTCTAAAGGCACCGAGCAGTCCGGGGAGCGGCGGGGAGGCCCTGCAGACAAAGCCTCTCCCTGAGCCCTGCTTTCGGCAAGCCGGGGATGCAAGGCAGCACATCCTCCTGGGCGCCAGACACCGAGGGCTGCTGCACTCACTGAAAAAGCCGCATGGAAGGGGAGTGGGGAAGACACCTGGGGCCTCAGCGCTCAGCCCTCTGTGTCTCAGGGCTGAAGGCTGCAGCTCCTGCACTGTGGCTCGTGTGAGTCACGGGCTGGGAGGACCAGTGTCATTCATTTGCAGCTGGCCAGAGGCAACTCGGCCCCTGTGCATCAGTCTCGGTTCCTCCTTTCACAACCTGCCCATCTGGCTTCTTGTCCGCTTGCTCACAGGCTCCTGGCTGAGCTTGGACGTGTCCAACCACATAACCACCTCTGCGGGTTTCTGCAGAAGTGGAGCAGTGCAAAACAAAGCCAAAACAGAGGGACGTGAAAACACAGAGCTGACCAAGACCAGCACTGCTGCCATAGGGGGCCACAAAGCACAGAACGGGAGACACGCAGGGCAGACAACACCCCTGAGGTTTCTCTAGATAAAGCCTCCATCTCCTGAAATCTGTGAGACCAAAATGGCAAAGAGAGGCAGCTGCTTGGCTGAAAGGCAGCACAGAGCAGAGCCATGGGGAGCAGCACAGCACGGAAGCACTGCCAACTGCAAGGAACGCAGAGAAGCATCAACAGATCGTAGCCAGGAGAACGGAGTGCCCAGCACTGCGTGTCAGGGCCAGGTGAGCTGATTCAGAGCGAGCTGCTTGGGCAGGGACATTTTTCCCAGCACTTGAGCTGCCCTGCTCAGCCCTTCCACAACCACCAAGGGCTGGGCCCTGGCAAGGCACCAAGCACTTGTCTGATGCCCTGTAAGTAATGAATGCAAAGTGCTACAGCTTCCCAAACAGGTTTCTTTTGGGCTTGACCAGCTGTGGAGGCAAACACGAAGAGTATGTCAGCCGAGGAGACCAAGGAGGCCAGTTGCCTTAAGCAGAGCCAAAAATCAATAGCTTGGAAGCCTTACCCTGTGTTTAGTTGTGGTAAAGCTTTTCTACATCTTCCAAAGCCTTGGAGCCTGGTACAGTAAGTACAGGCCTCCAACAGGATGCTGTGACAATTCCAAGCCTATGTGTGTGCAGGAAGGGATCGTGCAGCACACGGATGCTAGAGGAGTTACTGGCATGCTCAACACTCCCAGCCCTGCGTGCCTACAAGCCTCCGAGTGGCTCTCACAGCAGAAAAGAGAAAGCAAAGGGTCTTCTGCCAAAGGCAAGGATAAAGGCACCAGAAGGACTTACAGCTTACCCAGTAATGTCAGCACCAGAGTCAGGCCCAGCAGCACCTTCATCTTCTCTCAAAGAGAACAGCAGAGGTAACACGCACGGGACACCAACTGCTTGCAGCTGCACCCCAAGGCCTGCAGAAGGTTTCCTCCAGTCCTTCGGGGAGGGATGTGATCTCTGGTGGATGTTTGGCTTCTCAAAGTTAGCCCTATCCCAGCTGGGAACCTACAACTCAGTGAAGCACAGCTGTCACACGTGTCTCTGGTTTGAGACCGCTCTGAGCCCTGGAAAGGAAGAGTGAAAGATGGGGGGAGGGCTCAGCCTGAACATCGTTGCATTTCCCCTTAACCAATACAGCTTTCTGGTGGTTTGGGGGGTTGACTCCGTGCTGCCAAAATTGAGACATTCACAAATATTCACTGCTTAGAAAACAATGGGATTTTTTTTTTTCCTGTAAACTTGGGAAAGTTAGGATACAGCTTCTAAAATCACATTATCCTAGAGATAACCTCCTTGCTTCAGAACACCACACATGTTGAAAGCTTGTGCTGGAGCCTTTTGGGTCTGCCCAGGCAGTGCTGAGGTTGGTCACTGTGCTGTTTGTCCTGCTGCACATCTCCCAGTACCGCTGATGCCCCCTTTCCCCAAGGCACAGACATGCCACAACCCACAACAATTGAGTGCCACAGGCAGGGATGTGCTGCCAGTGTTCACACAGATCACAGGAAGGCAAGCAGTACCGGTTACCAGCATACATTTTTCAATACAGGCATTTTTGCTGTAGGAATAAATGAAACAAGAAATGAATCATATCCAAGTCTCATTAATTTCTCTCATTTTTCCTCCACTGTAAAAATCAGAGGCCCTCTGGATCAGCTTCAGCAAACCCTGAGATAGATGAAGTACCAGAGATACACTCCCAGCAGCAGCCCCAGGAGAGGTGATAAATATGTAAGGTGAATATCTGACACTGTGCCTGTGCTGCCATCCCATTCCGTGCAGCACCACAGGGCAGAAAGCCACAGCTGTGGGGTCTGTTCTAGACTGCGAAACAGTCCCAAAGGCCTTTCAGGCAGAGCACGGCCTCACTGCCCACGGCTGCTGATGCAAAACCACTCTGCTTTTCCCTGCCCTCCCATCCCATAAGCAAAATCCTGAAAACAGCAGCAATCCTTCCATGACTCTCTCAAATCTGCCTCTCAAAAACCAAAATCTGTTTGGGGGATGGGCTTTGTGGAGGTGGAGGGGAGAGAGCTGTGGTTTGGGTATGCTCTTTGCATGTCTGCTGTGACAGTCTGCAGCGCAACTCACGCTTGTGCATGCATGACCTACAAACAACAAAATTCACGCTCAGCTCCAAAGATGCGTCGGTGCAGCATATCTCAGCTCAGCAGGCCAAAGCATCCTGCTACCTCACCTTGTTTTACTTCAGCTGCGCTGCCTTACAACACAGCTGGAGCTACACCTTCTCAGGGCCGTCCTCATCACAGAGTGAAAACAGGACTTGGCTTAATAAAGGCCCTCAGCACACAGAAGCCTGCACAGAGGAGCATCAGCGTTCAGAACTTCGAAATTCCTCTTGCTGAGACTCTGCTCCTCGTTCACCACCAAGTTCTTCCTAGACTTCTTACCCTACTCCTCAAAATATTTTCCGGTTCCACCTCAGAACGCGTTTCTGCAGGGTCTCCTTTCCCAACACGCTCACCAGGCTGCTCCATCTCACAATGCTGACACACACAGCCCCATCCAAAGCCTCACACAGTCACTTTCTTCAATCCATGTGGAAAAAGACAAGAAAAGAACCCCACGGATAGCACACTGCCCACTTTTGGATACCATGGATACCACTGTCCCCACTTTTAGGCATGGGAATCTTCATTCCAAGCACTTCTATGTTTCAGTAGTTTTCTTTTCATGGAGGAAAAAAAGACTCCAAACATCAAAATAAATGTTCATAGCAAAAATAAAAATACTCACCCAGCGCGGTTTGGGGCAGCCTACTTTTTTATCTTGTGCACAGAGCTGTGCAGTGACTGATTTGGAGTCTCTGAATTAATCACACTGAAGCTCCCCGAGGCTGTGCGTGAGATGCTTAGAACACAGCAGCTCTTTGTTTCAGGTCTCTTACTTAAGGTTTGGTGGTCACTCTTTGCTTTTAAGAGGAAGTTGAGGACTTGTAAGAGGAAGACTGAGGGTACTGACAAGTCAGAAGGGACTGTTACAGATAGGCAAGAAGAATTAGATGGAACGCAGCTTCAAAAACCACTCTAGATAAGAGATCTGCCTGAGCCCCACTGCTTCCAGCACAGCAGACTGAGCCATCCGTCATTATGTAAGATTTGGCCCTGTCACAGTTTGCAAAGCAGTCGCAGCAGAAGGTGAACATTCTGTGGAAAACAAAAGCTATTAATTTCCATAAAGAAGAGTGATGCATTCTAGCTGAAAGTGGAACAACAAAGCCACTTCCTCCAAGTTGCAAATCCCAACATCCTTTCTCAGGATAGTTTTTTTGGTAAACAGTGAGCCATCACAAAGCATGATTTTTCAAATGTTACTTTGCTGTAGATGGGAGGAAAGAAAACTATCTGGAGACACAGATCTACAGCTGACTTGCACTGCAGTCAGAACTCCTATATACCTCTGATTAACAGCCACCACCAGGCTTCTGAAGGGAGACTTTAGGGAGGCACCTTTTCCCAACATCACAATCTCTTTCACCAAGTTAGGATGGCAGTTTTGTGAGTTCAGTACATTCACCTACACATGGCCAAATAAAGAAATCCACAGCCTTGACTGAAGCATTGTAATTTATTGGTAACAGTGCAAAGTAGGCAGTAAACATGAACCACATACATGGAAGGAGACCATTCAACCAATGCCGTGTACCAAAATAAGGCAGAGAACAGCAGCTCCTCAGCTATTAGAGAAGAATTCCCCTGCTCCCTGTAATCCATTATTGAACAAGGCTGGTGAGAGAAGGTGCTCTCAATCTTACAAGACAGCAATGATAAATTTCACCCTTTCCCAAAAATTCACCGTTTCCCTGAAAGAGAGGAGGAAGACGATTGTTCTTCTGAACACAGAACATCCCTTTGGCCAAGGCCTTGAGTCAGTGGTTGAGGTAGATGGGGTTGTGTTTCCCCAGACATAGAGTCCCCATTCGCATTTCTGATTTATAAAACAGGCTGTATGTGAATTGTGCTTCGTGTCAGTAGATGAACCCAGTAATGCAGCCGTTGGACAGATAAAAATCAAAGTAAGGTAACACTGCTGCGCAGTTGAATCAGAAAACAGTAGGAATAAAATGATGATCCTGTAATTAAGTGGCAGCTCAAGCAAGGAAACAATTAAAAAACAGTAGGTTCTGTTTGCTTTGAGACAAAGGATGCATATAACAACTTAATCAGACTGCTCTAAGTCCTTAGCAAAAACTGAGAATGTGTTGTCAGTGCCCAATGACTACTGCTTGGGGAGCCCAGGTGTCACCCTGGAGTACCCTGTTCTTCAGAGTGGAGAACTTCTCAAGTGGAGTTCAAGGACACAGGAAAGGAGGGATATCATCAACCATAAAGGAAGCATTACCAAGAAAAGTAAGAAAAGAGCACTGTCAAACTGCTGGTAGGAAACAGCCCGTCCAGCTGCAGGCACTGAGGTTCCTGTAGGCACTGAAGTAGGGAGGTTCTGGAGTTTCTTTTTTTTTTTTCCCCCCGCTCCCTCAATAAATTGTAGAGATTTCAAAAATCATTGTATTGTGCTTAGAAGTGAACTATCCAAGCACTGTTGTTCCAGTAGACCAAGATGAGAGCAGCTCTTCCAATCTGTGCTGTTATCCTGCAGCCTTTGTACTCATCTAGTCAGCATTTTCAGTGTTGTGATTCTGCTCATTATCCATACATGTGATCATTCATCAGTACGGCTCTTCCTCATCTGTGTCCTAAGCAGGGGGAATAGAGAGAGAAATTAAGACTGCGTACCCAGACATCAGTCTGATACAAATTTGAGTCTGCTAGGCTTCAGGCAAGAGCTTGAATATTTCCCAGACCACTGGCGTGGTTGAATAAGTCTCAGAACTTGTGGTTGTACAAACTTGCAGCTAAATGGATTGGATTGTCACAAGCACGGGTGAACTGCCACTGCTCAACTAACACGTGAAACGTATTTTAAATTAAGCAGCAGATTAAACTTAAGCAAAAGAAAAACAAAGTGCAGAAAGACATCAACTCAACAGGCTCCCAGCCCCCTGTGCTTGGGATCCAAAGCAGCACAGACTGCTGTGTTTTTCAGCTATGACCAACCACAAACTTTCAGATCCCCATCTACCATTTACCACAGTCATCCCTCCTTGGCATCTTCACAGCCCAGCTCTGCTGCCCTCATGTGTAGAAAACAGCAAGGAGTAAAAGCACAACCAAATGAGACTGAAGTCTCTGAAATCCAGAGAGGTCATGTTCTTGCACCTCCTCTCAGTACTGATATTGAGAAAGTAAGTGGTAAAGGCATCAACTTTCACTTACCACACAGTTCAAACAGCAGGTTTTGAGTCTGCCCATGCAGCTCTCTGTATATTCGGACCTGGAGAGCAACAAGCACAGGATGAGGCTAGACTTTCCACCACCAAACACAAACTATCT